ACTAAAGTCACACAGCAGCAGTAGTCCCACGTGCTTTCTTCAAATTTGATCCATTCTTGGATATGTTCTTTCCTCGATTATGGTAATAGTATTTACATTTATAGTCCTGGCTCACGGTGGGCAGTGTCCACCACTTTATTTTACATAAAAAAACGTATTCTGAGAATACGTTTTTCAATTAATTAATTGAAAAACGTATTCTCAAAATACGTTTTTCATGTAAAATAAAGTGGTGGGCACTGCCCACCGTGGGCAGGGGATCAAAATTTTTTACATTTATCCTCATGCTCTAACTATATCTCTCTCTTTTGTACTTAATCCACTTCTTTAACATTTACTGTTTTATTGAACTTTGTGATCTGCATTTCTTATTGGGGGTTCCTGTACGTGTGAATGAGTTGTGGGCATTCGGGTCTTGGTCGGTTGAGGCCGTCTCCGCAACCGTGGTTTGGTGTTTTGCGTGTGGGGGCGCGGTTTATTATGTAGGCAGTGCGCCGAAAAGGTGGCCATTAGTGCTCGTTTTGTGGTGGGGTTTTTTCTAGCACTTGCAGTTCAGTTGTAGTCGTTTTTTTTTTTATCTTTTTCATCACCTTGTGTTCATCCAACTTCCGGATTATATCCCAAAAGCTAACACGGTCGATTTTGCTACTTTTCCATTGTCGCTTGCCGTGTTCTTCTTCGTTGCCGTACGCAGAAATATGGTTGATGTTGCTAATAAAATGAGCGACGATACGAAAAAGCCGTTTCTTGGGGATGGTTTTGAGTGTGTTTCAGAAGAGGATTGTAATCCATTTTCAAGTGCCGGGATTTGGAGCCACCTGACCTTTAGTTGGCTTAATCCTCTGTTCAAAAAGGGTCGGAATGAGAAACTCCATGTGGAGAATGTACCACAAATTCCTCGTTCGGAGGCTGCCGAGGAAGCTTCTTCGTTGCTCGAAGAGTGTCTCAGGAAACAAAGAACTCGCGCTGCATCTCTGCCGAAAGCTATACTTGATGCAATCGGGAGGCCCCTTCTCATAAACGGAGTTTTTGCAGGTACTAGGGCCATTTTATTTATTTTTATCAAGTCATATATATATATATATGTTTTAGTGTAATGTTGTTCTATCTTTAACAAGGACTCAAAATTCCGACTCATTTTCCTGATGTGGTGAGCACAGGTGTGAACACAGGTGCCTCCTACGTGGGCCCGCTTCTAATCACGAGCTTTGTCAACTACCTATCCTCGAAGGACAAGAACGTAAAATGGCAGCACGGCATGATCCTTGCATCGGTCTTGTTCGCTGCAAAGACGGTAGAATCACTCTCCCAGAGGCAGTGGTATTTCGGGGCCCACCGAATAGGCATCCATCTCAGAGCCTCCCTCATGGCTTTAATATACAAAAAGTCTTTGTCCGTCAAGTATGGCGGCACGAGCAGCGGAAAAATAATCAACTACGTGAACGTGGACGTCGAGAGGATCGGGGACTTCTGTTGGTACTTTCACGGCATTTGGTTGCTTCCCGTTCAGCTCCTTTTTGCCCTTTTCATCTTGTACAATAACTTAGGGGCTGCCCCTTGTTTTGCTGCCCTTTTCACAACTGTGCTGGTGATGGTATGCAATACTCCACTCGCCAACATGCAGGAGAAGTTCCAAACCCAGATAATGGAAGCCAAAGACTCGAGGATAAAAGCCACTTGCGAGACCCTCAAGAGCATACGGGTCCTCAAGCTGCATTCTTGGGAGCCCATTTTCCTTCAAAAATTGCTTCGGCTCAGAGAAAACGAAGGGTCCCGGCTCAGGAAGTATCTCTACACCAGCTCGTGCGTGGCTTTTCTTTTCTGGGCTTCCCCCACATTGGTATCTGTTGTCACTTTCAGCGTCTGTGTTGTCTCAGGGATTCCTTTGACTTCGGGCACAGTCTTGTCTGCTTTAGCCACTTTCCGGATCCTTCAAGAACCTATATACAATCTCCCAGAGCTTATATCCATGATTGCTCAGACTAAAGTATCCATCGACCGGGTTCAGAATTTCATTACTGAGGAAGACCAGAAGAGGTTAGTGCACTATCATGCTCCGAGCATGCCAGGTTTTGTTGCCATTGATATCGAACCCGGTGAGTTTGCGTGGCATGCGAAGAGACCGACTATCAAGATAACCAAGAAAGTCAGAATCACTAAAGGGAGCAAGGTGGCTATTTGCGGTTCTGTGGGGTCAGGCAAGACGAGTTTCTTGTGCAGTATTATTGGGGAGATTCCAAGAATTTCTGGGTCTAGTTCCAAGACGTATGGATCGAAAGCTTTTGTGCCACAAAGCGCTTGGATACAAACGGGCACTGTGAGGGAAAATATTCTGTTCGGTAAAGAACTGAAGAGAGATGTTTATGAGAGCGTGGTGGATGCTTGTGCTTTGAACCGTGACTTTGAGATGTGGGCCGATGGAGATTTATGTGTAGTTGGGGAAAGGGGAATGAATTTGAGCGGGGGACAGAAACAAAGAATTCAAATGGCGAGGGCATTGTACAGCGACTCGGAGGTATATTTGCTGGACGATCCTTTTAGTGCTGTTGATGCGCATACCGGGGCTCATATGTTCAAGGAAAGGAAAATTCTCGTTTCGTTTCTACAAAACGATTATATATGTTCACTTACTTAAATCTGATTTTTGGACTCGATATTTATTACTGCAGAAATGTCTGATGCAACTCTTGCATGATAAGACTGTTGTCTACGTTACTCATCAGTTGGAGTTCTTAGATGCCTCTGACTTGGTGTTGGTAATACCTATTTTGCATATATTTATCACTTGTTAGGAAAGCCAGTCTATCTAAGCATATATACATATTTATTTTTTTTGTTATAAAAGGTGATGAAGGAAGGCAAAATTATGGAGGCGGGAAATTATCGAGATTTAATCTCAAATCCCGATAGCGAGCTCGTAAGACAAATGGAGGCCCATAGTAGATCGTTAAATCAAGTGAACCCTCCAAAGTGTATAAGCTTACCTAAGAAAAGCTACCACCGAGCTAAGCAGATAGAAGTAACTGAGGTAAAATTCGTAGACCTTAGCAGAAGTAACCAACGAAGCCTGCACGAAAAAACCGAAAGCGGTAGAGTTAAATGGCACGTCTATGCAACTTTCATCACCTCTGCTTACAGAGGAGCTCTTGTGCCGATTATCTTGTTGTGTCAGATACTCTTCCAGATGTTACAGATGGCAAGCAATTACTGGATTGCATGGGGATCAGAAAAGGACGAGAGTGTTACGAAAGGGCGTCTGATCAAGATATTTGCTCTGCTTTCCGGCGGAAGCTCGTTTTTTATCCTGGGAAGAGCAGTTCTACTGTCCACCATTGCTATCGAGACATCTCAGAGACTTTTCCTTGGGATGATCAATTCTGTTTTCCGAGCGCCTTTGTCGTTTTTCGACTCCACGCCTTCAAGCAGAATTCTTAATCGGGTCAGTCAATTTTTTAGTCATTAATGTATATATGTGATAATCTTTTTTAAAATTAAAGAAAAATAAAATATTGAAGCCTATTGAAATTTGGTCTGATTCTCCATGGCCAGTCATCGACAGATCAAAGCATAGTGGACACGGATATTCCTTACCGGTTGGCTGGGTTAGCATTCGCGCTTATTCAGCTATTGAGCATTGTTGTGCTTATGTCACAAGTTGCCTGGCAGATCTTTTTCCTCTTTCTTGTTGTATTTGCAATCTCCGTATGGTATCAGGCAAGAATTATTTTGCAAGAATGGTAGAGTCGGCACACTATAGCTGACTCTTTTGACCCGACTAAAAAATTTTCTCGAACTGTTTGGCAGGCATACTATATCACAACTGCAAGAGATTTAGCTAGAATGGTCCCAATTCAACAAGCTCCAGTTCTCCATCATTTTTCGGAATCCATCTCTGGGGCCTCAGTAATTCGGAGCTTCAACCAAGAAGATCGGTTTCGGAAGATGAACATGAAGCTGGTTGATGATTACTCAAGAGTAGCCTTTTACAACTCCAGCACCATGGAGTGGCTCTGTGTCCGCATCAACTTTCTCTTCAACCTCATCTTTTTCGCCCTCCTTATCATCTTGGTCACCCTTCCGAGCTCCGCCATCGACTCCAGTAAGCATAAGCACCTCTTTTCTATGTCCACCCACACTTACTTTTTACTTGAAAAAGGTAAGGTATATAATGAATTAATTGTTACAAAAATGTCAGGCTTGGCGGGGTTAGCAGCCACGTACGGGCTGAACTTGAACGTACTCCAGGCATGGGTAATATGGAACCTCTGTAATGTGGAAAACAAAATGATATCCGTGGAGAGAATCCTCGAGTTGAGTGGCATCCCAAGCGAGGCCCCACTGGTGATAAAAGATTCTAGACCGGGGCCCGAATGGCCGGTGCACGGGAGAATCGAGGTGGAGGATCTCCACGTGCAGTACAGCCCGGGTCTCCCGAAAGTTCTCAAAGGGATCACGTGCACTTTTCCCGGGCATAGCAAAATCGGGGTCGTGGGAAGGACTGGGAGCGGGAAATCCACTCTCATCCAGGCACTCTTCAGAGTGGTCGAGCCTTGCCAAGGACGCATTTTGATCGATGGAGTGGATATTGCAAAGCTAGGCCTGCAAGATTTGAGGTCGAAGCTCAGCATAATCCCACAAGATCCAATCTTGTTTCAGGGGACATTGAGAATGAATCTTGATCCTCTCCAACAACATTCAGATCAACAGATATGGGAGGTAAGTAAGGAGTGAAGCATAAACTTGCAGCATTTTGTTGAAACAAATAGTATTCCTATTTTTCTTGTAATGTGCCAGGTTCTACACAAGTGTCATCTCGCCGAAAACGTGAAGCAAGACGACAGACTTCTCGATGGGCCAGGTTCTTAACTATTTTCTCTTTAGTCTTCTGATTTGGTAGTTTCCTTAAGCTACTTGTGATTAGTGTGCGATGCACTAAAAAACTGTTGCAGTTGCTGAAGATGGAGAAAATTGGAGTGTGGGGCAAAGGCAGCTCGTGTGTCTAGCTAGAGTGTTGTTACAAAGGAGAAGAATACTCGTCTTGGATGAGGCCACCGCTTCAGTAGATACGGCGACCGATAATTTAATCCAAAAGACGATAAGAGAAGAGACGAGTGGATGTACTGTCATAACAGTTGCCCACCGAATACCAACTGTAGTTGACAATGACCTAGTTTTGGTTCTTGGTGAAGGTAAGATTGGGTTTACTTATATTCTCCTCCTGTTGTTTATGAATCTTTTTTTATTACTCCATGCGTGTAGTTTCTTAGGACTGCAGTAGAAGGCACGCTAAAGTTCAGTTTACATGCAACATAGACATTAGTGTTACAAAAGCTACGCTTTGTGAAGAAATAGGGTTGGCGGAGTAGCGTGCGCAACGTGTCTAAAAACATAAAAATTTAAGGAGAGATGACAATTAGTCAAATTTTCTTCGAAGAGCGTCTCAATATCCCCTCAGAATTCTTTTATTAGTAAATCGTTTGCCTTAAAATTACAAGAAAAAAACTCCCTCCTACAAATCTACCACAACTATACCGATCCTACTAACTGCCCTGACCACAACGCGGACTAACAACTATTACAGAAATCTCTCCAAGTTGGTAATACCCAAAAGTATAAAGGTCTTATACTTCAGTCCTTTAGAGATACAAGAATGCAAAACTAATCTTTTTAATTCACAAGCTATAAAATATAATCAATAATCTCACAACCTCTAAGATAGTAGACTAACTCAATATGCTCAAGTGAAAACAATAAACCCATCTCATATATATGAATTTTGTGATCTAATAATGTATATAAAGAAATTAAAGACAATCTTAACTACCTAAGGAAACTTTAGGTCGACGTGATCTCCAATGTCATTCCTTTAGAATAAGTTTCCTTCAAGTAGAAATGTGTTTCCAAAATCGTGCAGGAACGTACTTTCCTTATATGGGCGATCACCTAAATTTAAGAGATCCTGTGGTAAATTTTTTCAAATTCTCCTTATATCTTCTCCCATACGTCCAATATCCTTTATGTGGGCATCTCGTTCTTTTACTATGTGCTGCATATTCATTGTCTTACAAGAGAAAAAAAAAAATCAATAATGGTATTGAATCTAACATATTATGTAATCATTCTCCTAAAGGATTAGAAATTCAAAATACATAATATAATTAATATATACCATATATTATTTATAAAATTTACTAGGAACTTAACTAATTTACAAGTAAATTAATAGAAAACTTCTCTTGATTTATTTTTCTTGCATAACAAGAAAATCTTATAGAAAATACTTAATTTTTTCGGCAATGCCAAACCAATATTTTAACAATCTCTCATTTTGACATTAAATTCAAAAAGCCATGTTTCTTGAAAATAGTCTGCAAAACAAACTCAAAACTAAAAAATAATATCTATGTTCGTACATCAGGAAGTGAATTACTCAAATATCTGCAATGTATGAACATCAAAATAATTCCTATAATAACAACTACGAGGAATACAATCAAAGCAATCAAAACACATCAAACTTCAGAAAAGTTAGAAAGGGATTACCGTGTGACAAGTACTAGCCTTAGAATCTTTACATTTCACATGTTTGCTCAGGTCTTGAACATCCATGTAAGGAACTTTAGGCTTATTGATCATCTTGATCACCTCTTCATTCTTGCTCGGGCGCTTTTCAATTTAAGTTCAATAGTTTCGGAGACTCACATATTTTTCCATAACCCATCCAAGTTCACGTCTAAGGGCAACAATCTCAGAATCCCTTTCACCTATAGTTTTCTGCATGGCAAACATTTCATTAAACAGAGATGACAAAATCTTTATCATCATATATCTGCTGGACAACTTATTTCCCTGTTCGAACATCGTGATTTTGGCAACACATTCATCCAACTAATGTTTCTCCTTGTTGATATGAATGTCAGATCTAGTAAACATATCATTCAGTTCACCATTCATTATGCGAGTTTTATGAAGTTTATCCCTCAGGTAGGCAGTCTTCTTCTCATGCTCTGCAGAAAATGTTGTCACATCTCTATCTCATTGACTTGAGGTTGCAGATTTTTTACCATCTACCCCAACCTTGAGGCATGTCTATAATTCAAGTTTATGGGTAGCCAAGTCTACTTGAACAGAATCTGTACCATCTCCAGAATAATCAGAATCATTTTGAGTATTATATGTGTAAGAACGTATATCTGAATCAGCATCAATAGGCTTATGGAGAAATCGAGTAACACGTTAAGTTGTTAAAAGGACGGATGACATAATTATTGGAGTGTTGCTGGTCGTCGTTGTCTTCATCATCCCGCGTGGGCTGATAGGTTTTGTTTTTCCTCATAAAATTTGGACAACCTTTTTGAAACTATCCAAATTCTTTGCATTCACGACATTAGTTCTTATCAACATTCTGATTCTCAGTCTTTTGAGAAGGTGTATTGGAATGCTGATTGTTGTTTGTGGGATTAGATGGCTTTCCCCCTTGGAGTTTTTTGTACCTTCTTCGGCAAATCATCAATTTCTTGCAAAGGACCGCCAACCCATCATTGAATTTTGAATCTTTGAATAGATTTCATCAGATTCTTCACCAACGGACTATGATAGAACATTAGCCTTCAGACCTAGGCCTTTGATTTCCATAGTACCATAACCACATGTGATTTCAAAGGTTCGAAGGTCGCAAAGTCATCGAAGACAAGAGGCTCAACTCCTTGAAAGCTCTCAAGTGTAGTAAGCTTCTCATGGAATTGTTTGGGAAGGGTGTTCATGATCTTTTTTACTTAAGTCGCCTACAATTCTCCTCTCCAAGTATCGAACTTTGTTTAACGAGATTGCAAAAGTGTGCATAGTACCTATCAATATCTTCATCACTGTTCATGAGAATTTCGTTGAATGTGTGGTAATCCTTTACAACTTGGAATGCTTTATCTAGTATCTTCAAATGGATGCTCGAGGATTTTCCACTCGTCAGTTGTCGTTTTCCATTATATGATCATGTTTTGATGCGTTTGATCCACAACCATCGTGAGAGCATAAAGTGCTATGAGATTGGCTTATTCTTGAGATTTTTTAAGCATCCATCCACAATCCATTGGGCTTTTCTATCACGGTAGCAAATGAAGATTTTACTGCATCCCTATTTTTAGGGGTGATTCCTTCATCATAGGCCAAGACCATCCAGTTTCAATGATCTCCCAATATTCCCATGACTAACGAGCGCAATAAAAACTTCATCATAGACTTCAAGTACAAGTAATTTGATACGTCAACATACGGGGGGCACGAGATTGATATTGCGTCGTGGTTCGTGGGTCCAAATCCCACTAAGAAATAATAATGAATCCTAGCCGTTGGATGTGATATATCAACGTTCTATTCATGGACAAAGGGTCCAACTTTGGTCAAATACATGACATTCTTATAAATAAGTGGACTTCTTATTTTTCACGCAGGGATATTTTAGCCATCGCGCTGAATGCATTGTTACGCTAATGTACAATCTGACATACACTAAACATTGTGCACTCTGCAGAGCAGTCATTTGTAATGTACATATCCAAACGTCATATTGTGCACTGCACTAAACATCGATCTGCAATTATTAAAACTTTGATAAATTTATAAATTTGACCAATGAACTAATTTGTAATACATTAAAAATTTAGAAAATTGTAATTAGGTCCCTGGACATATCAAAATTTAAAAAATCACCCAGCCCCAAAATCAAATTCTTGCGGGCGATTATTGTCGGACATTAACCCTTCTTGCGGGTTGTCGGCGGGTCCAGCCACTGGACTGGGAGAAAAAGTCGGATAACGATAATTTTACAATTGATGAGTCGACTTTGAATTTGATTTTGACGGTTCAAAGAGGACACATGAGGCCCGATCGATTAAGTTTTTCAGGTGAAGATAATGAAGACGATGGTGCCAATTAATTGATAAGGTTTTCAGGTCGCCGATGAAGACGATGGAGCTAGACATGGCCAAATTTCGGTCCGAGCCCAACTTCGCCTGCCGAGTTCTAAATCATCGACCCTGAATCAACCAGTATCTAAGTACGTGTCGAGTACACGACCCGGCGGGCCGGGACTTGCTCGACCCAGAACTGAGAGCCATGCTAAAAAAAATTGAAAAAAATCTACCGTTGATTTCCTGTGCCGGCCGGACCCTGGTCCAGCTCGTTGGGTCATATGTTACATACATATGACCCTGAACCGACCCGGTTTTAATCCAGGCACGAGTATGGAGGTCATCAGTTCTAACTAGACTAAGTTCGTGTCGGTTACGGGCTGGGATCGGGGCAGGGTCGGCGGGGTGGGTGACCTGTGGAAATGTCTTGATGGATTCGTAAATATTTGAATCACCGGTCTCATTGGACGAGATAAGCAGCGGAGGCGTAAATATTTGAATCACTCGGTCTTCTCCCAACAATTGCGTAGGCATGAAGGCAGTGCAGCGGCGGGACTGGGAGACGACGAGCGAATTGAGGCCGGGGTGTGCAACATGTGTGCGTGTGTGTGGGCGAGGCCCACTGGTGAGTGTAATTGTGGGTGATGTCTAATTTACCCTTAATCACTCTAAATGTTTGACTTTTTTTAACTATTGGATTATCCGATCTAATGGCTACGATATATACACACACACACACACACATACACACACAATACACATATGTATTATGCAAGTTCTTTAACTCACTTAATCCAATTTCAATTTTTCCCCTAAAAGGTAATATATAATATAATATAATAAAATATATACCATATATTATTAAAATACTATGAACTTAATTATTTTAAAATAAATAGAAAATTTTCCTTTATTTATTTTGCTTGCATAATAAGAAAATGTCCTAGAAAGCACTTAGGCTTATTGGACGATTTCAGTCCAATATTTTAACAATTTGAAACTGACATAACGAAAATCTGTAATGTAAGAATGAATATGATAGGTAACCAATCGACAGATGCAATTTTTTTCTTCATAATTAAGGTGGATGTTATTTGTAACTAATAAGCAGATGCGATTTTTTTCTTCATAATTAGGTTGAATGTATCACAAATGAATATGATGGGTTACCAATAAGCATATGCAATTTTTTCTTCATAATTAAGATGAATGTTCTTTGACTATATCTTGAGGTCAACCTTTTAAAAGATGAGTGATCGGTGAGAATAATATTTTGTAACTTGTTAAGATAATCACTTTGGCTTGTTGCAGAACACTTGTTCGTGTAATTCGTTTGTTTTTATTGTATTATTTTATGCAGGAAAAGTTGTAGAGTATGAATCCCCTACTCAGTTGCTCGGGGACAAAAATTCTGCCTTCTCAAGTTTGGTGATGGAATTCTTAAGAAGATCATCGTCCTGCTGAGTATGACTCTGATGGTACAAATTTAAATAAAATCACAAGAAACTTTAGCTACATGGAGTTACATAGAGATTAGTTCCAATGAGCCACTTATTTAAAGTGAGTATGTGAGATACAATCATAGTCTTTAAGTAGGGCAAGACGTATGACCAACATTTGATGGTTTATTTTTTTTAATATAATTACTTAAATATTAATTTTACCATTTGATCGTTGAATATTTAATTCTGCCATTGACCGTTGACTTTCGGCGTTCACCGTTGACTGTAATTTGCATTATGTATGAATAAAATGTGCACTAGCAATATGTAGTTGCCTATAGTCGATCTCCTTCATTCCTACTTTGTCCACTCATATTATGAATATTGAAACTGATATTTCTATTAAGGAATGTAATTCACCCTCTTCATAAAGGTAGATTAACAGTAGAATAATCCCTTGGAATGCATTCCCCCTTGTGCACAAACCCTATTCTACATCCAAGGGCTTCGCTTAGTAGAAACCTGAGTGGAGCTACTACTTTAACCTTCATTAAGGAAAGAAAGGCATAAGATAATTGAAGCTCTTTATGAACTAAATATGCATTTGATATGATTTGAATATACAATTTTTATGAAATAAATGTCCACTAATAATATTAACTAAATATGCATTGTTTATGAACTAAATATACACTATGTATGAACTAAATGTGCTTTTGGCCTGAACTAAATGTGTAGTGAAAATATCCGCTTAAATGTGCGGTTTATATAGTTAATTTAAATATAATAATTACTATTATCATTATAAATTAATGTAATTTTCAATTAATACTGACCTATACAAATAAATAGATATGATTGGACAACTAAACATGCATTGTGATGAACTAAATATGCACTATGTGTGACATATGAATTTTGCCTGAACTAAACGTGTAGTCTAAATATGCAATTGAATATGCATTTTATATAATTAATATAAATATAATAATAATTATTTTTATTTTATACTTACTTTAAATATCAATTGATTCACACGAGTGATTGATGCACACAATAAATGCTCTGATTGGACCTCACATTAACTAAATATGTATAATGAATAAACTAAATATGCATTATGTATTACAGTAATTATATATTTACAGGTTTGAACTAAATATGTATGGTAAATATGCAGTTGATATGAATTAAATATGTATCCTAAACATAAACTTTTTTATGAACCATATACACAATGTATATGAAGTAAATTTGCACTCGAAATATGTCAGTGATATAAACTAAATATGCATTGGGTATGATATAAACTAAATATGCATTTGGTATAAAATGGATGTAGCTTGTCTTGGCTATTACTTTATACTAGTCCGTTGTTCGCCTATATTTTTAAAGCTCGACCGCAAGTGTACGACTTCGCTCGTAGTATGTGGCAAGCAAGGTCGTATCCCAAGAGACCAAATAATTAATATATCAAGTACTAGATGATGATAATGTCAACTTTATTTAGACGATCGTAATTGGATGAATTAGCTAAACTAAGAAAATAAATCAAAGAGAATAAAGCGAAAATAAAGAACTAGCTAGAAAAACACGTGAGAAAATGTATGGGAACGATAGATTCTAAGACGTTGGGTTCAATTAATAGTTAAGATTCCTTCAAAGATATCACAATTAAATGATTTTCTTTATCTACCCTATAAGACGATCGCAAATTTAGCTTATCGTCCCTCTCGAGATTAATAAAACTGTAGATTAAATCACATATATTAGCGTCTCCACTCAACACATGCAATTCAACTCCAAAAAGATTAAAGGATCTAAAATCCTCACAATTACCTACTAATCTCTCGATTTAAGCATGTAAATTGTGTCAAATATTAAAGACCTAATATTGCACTCATCTCTCGAATTATGAACAATATTGTCTAACATGTAAAAGAATTGATCAAGTTCTAAACATCGAATAAGAACAAAATATTTGAATAGGGTTCAAAAGAAAAACAATCAATTATAAATAAATCATCCAAAATCCCAACATATTAATCTACTACCAAGTCTTAGAATCAATAAATCTAGCTACTCATGTTCGAATTCAAACACATAGACATATTAGAAATCGACATGATCAATAAAAGTTCAAGAGGAAAGAAGAAATAAAAACTAGGAATCTCGTCAATCTTTCAATCTCCTTGATCCCTTCGTAGTTGATCTTCTTTTTGCTCCTCAATTGCTTCTCTTGTGTGTTCTAAGGCTCTTCTCCTTGCGTATTCACGTTCTAGAGCTCAAAATAAGGTAAATATGCCTTTTTATATGTCCAAAAGTCTTCTCCTTATCCAAGAAGGCAACAATTAAAAATCAGCATCCGCACGCGACACGACCAGACTGCCCGTGTCGCTGGCTGTGTCACAGCCCGTGTCGTCTGAACAGCCTCAAAATCCTCTAGTCACGTGACACGGTCTCTGACACGGGCAAGGTGCCCGTGTCATTGTCCGTGTCACACCCCAGCATGCACGATTTTGTCCGTGTTGCTCGCTTCTTCCATTTTTCTCATCCGTGCATCGATCCTTCATCATCCCGGGGGTCCTAGGTACTCCACGTGCACCTCCAATAACAAGCTCTATAAATATGTGAAAATATCTACAAAACAAGCACGTGTAATACCTTTCCAACAAGTAGATAATTAAAGCACAAATATGCAATTTATACATCAATAGTGCAATGAATAAGCTCTAAATCCTATATAAATATTGTGTAAAATCACACATGAACAAACCCCCAAACTTAAACCATTGATAGTCCCGATCAATGCATTAAACTCCTAACAACACACAATAAAAAACAATCACACTCTCAAAGTCAATCATACACATCATCAACAGGCATCGGGCATGTAACATACTAAGTTCCAAATTTTTAAACAAAAAGAACGCTTCATCAAAATCATGGTTAATACTTCAATCCACAAATACCTCACCGGATAAGTGTATACTCTCACCCTCCAAAGTGTATAGGGAAATAATCGCTCAAATCCATTCAATGTTGAAGAATTACCATAAGCTTGCAAATCGTCTACTATCTCCACCAGTTATTGTGCATGCACTTCATGAATCAAAAAAGACTTTTTATTTGGTTGTAATGTAGGCTCTTTGGTTAGGGTAGGAAAAATATGGGTAAAGTGACGAATACTTGAGCATCTAGAACTACAAAACATGAACTACACCATTTCATCACCTACCAATCATAATCAACCCAACTCATCCATACCCCATTTCAATCAAATATCCACAAGCCATATAAGAATATAAAATCAAACCAAACAGAAAACTTAACTATATACACAATTTCACCAACTTAAACTCCTCTTTTTTTTTCTTTTTTTTTTTTCAGATCTTTCATTTTTCATTTTTTTTTCAGATTTTTTTTTTGAATTGGCCTCATTCAGAACAACATTTCCATTTTCATCTTCCCTTTATTCACACCACAACAACATACTCATCTCTTAACATAATATACTCCTAAATGCTCAAGTAGGGACAAGGAAAAATATAGATGTAGCTCAATTTGTGGTATTCAAATAAAATAGGCAAAAGCTCAAAAGCGTTGACTAGGGAATAAAAACATCATTCGGTAAGCTAAAAGGGTCAAAAGGGCTTAAACAAAAATATGCCTTAAATCATTTTCACAAAAAGCACACACCATGTGGTCTCGATATAGATACCAATGCAAGTTCTAGAATTCCAACAACAATGAACGATACACTCAACAACAAAATATAAGGCTCAAAAGCTCACAAATGATCATATATCCATGAATTAAAAGCATCAACCAATCATTCAAATTCACAATTCAATCAATTCTCAAATCTCATCACTTAGCACATTATGCCCGAATTATATATCAAATATGCACAAGAAACTTATCAAGATGGATCAAAGGATCTCAACTACAACTACAACTACTCCTAAGAAAGCAATAAACGTGCTAAAGCAATAAAACCTAACATGCAATTACATGATATGCAAAGATAAAGTGTTTCTTGAATCCTCTAAAATAACTCCCCCAAACTTAAATGGAATTCTATGAATCACAAAGAGAGAATAGAATTTCATAGCAAAGGGATCAAGAAACACTCACAAGGCCTCATTGAGGTGGCGGGCCAAAATGGCCCTCATCCATATGCCACTGATGCATTTGACGGATCATGGCCATCATCTCTCGTTGATCCGCCCTCATCTCCATCACCTCGTGCTCCAAATTACCCATGCTCGCTCCTAGGTTCGCAGGGAGAGGAAAAACAAGCCTCTTGGCTCCTTGAGTGGAGCTCTCCGGGATATCCATGTGATCATCCCCGACATGGTCATAGGCTTCTTCCTCCTTGACGCTCGGGTGCTCCTCAACACGTGGCCGGACATTCCTTTGAGAGCCTCCAACCGCCCTTCGAAATTGCTCTTGCACTTCATTGACGACGGTGACATGTGCCTCACTCACCATCTTAATATTTGTCACGTCGTTATCACTCTCAATGGTGGTCAAGTGAGTGTTCGGCAATGGGAAGTGGTTGTTCGCCCTTTGAAACAACAAGTATTGGTCGGCTTCACGGCCGACAAAGTTCATCGTCTTGAGAGCCGCCATATTAATCGAAGGAGTCTCACCTACGGGGGTCATCGTGCTCAAGTCGACCCCACAATGGATGAGTGATCATGCCACCTACACATATTTGGCCCGACTCCGATATAGCCGCCTTCCACAAATGAGTAGCCACCCACTTCTCGGTGAGCCCGGGCTTGCTCTTGAGCATGCACCAAATCGCCGTGAGCTCACGAAGAGAGCATCTGCCATCTCTCCTCGGGCAAAAATCGTGCTCGCAACTGCCTTTTGCAAATATCGCAACACCGGATTTCGGGTCGACGTTGCCTTTGCCGACCTCGGAATGAATTTCAGAGCCGGAGTAGAAAGTGTCCCGGTAATTAAGCTCCAAGCGTCAGTGGCATCAAAAGATGAGGCAATCGTTGGATTTTC